CAAAGTGGTTTTATCCTGAATACAATTTAAATTATGTTTGTAAAGGATCATTCACATGTTAGCCTGTGATCATGTTTCAGAAAAAAAAATCAAGAGGATTTTTCTATTAAAAAAATAAAAATAAAACAGAATAACATAAGGATTCAAGGACTTTGTTCACTTTCCAAAGCTATTTGTTTACATTATACACTGCAACCATCTTGCCGCTTTTTCATTATAAGCTTGAATATTTAAATTCTGTACCTATAATTGTAAAATAGCCGGGCATTCTCCAGTTTGATCAGTTGCAATGCCTTTTTACAAAATGGCTGTAAATTATTGTAAATTAATTAAATGAGCTTCCCCCTCTTGAAGGTTTCCTTTCTAACTCACCTTGTCTTGATGAGTTGTGGAAAAACATGTTGAAAATAAACTATCTGGTGGAATCATTGGGCAGAATATGATGAGAAGCCAGAATGAAAAGTCAGTTGCTTGCAATGACATAGTGCATTTAAATTTTTGGATTATTTGGTTAAAAGTATTTTCTGTTGTGTGTGTGTGTATGTGTAATTTTATACTTTGAAAAACTCAGTTTAATTTACTAATGATGGATTTTCGAATATCTTGCATTTTGTAGCATAACCAAACCTAACATAATCTAGCAGAAATGTGGACAGAAAATCCGTGGCAACAAATCCAAAACCTTGTTGACAGTGGATTGAAAATGACTCAAGATTTATTTATTTTTTGTGTCAGGAGCGACTTGAGAAACTGCAAATCACTTCTGGTGTGAGAAAATTGACCGTCTGCAAAAACATTGCCCAGGGGACGCCGGGGTGCTTTGATGTTTTGCCATCCTTGTGGGAGGCTTCTCTCATGTCCCCACATGGGGAGCTGGAGCTGACAGAGGGAGCCCATCCGTCCTCTCCCCAGATTCGAACCTCTGACTTGTCGGTCTTCAGTCCTGCCAGCACAAGGGGTTTAATCCATTGCGCCACCAGGAACCGAGATGGGATGCTAGTTTCCATGATTCTGGGACACCCTAGGATGTTGGGAAGAACGTTTTGGAGATCCCTTCTGCTGTTAATGGAAATGAATGTAGCAAAGGCAATTTATTCTCATCATTGAAAACACTTAGCTGGCATATTGTTCATATTTGAGTATTTCTGAGAATTACAACCTTACTGGTTATATACTAGGCATGGGCAATCCATGATTCTAAATGGTTCTAAAGTACTTACAAAACTAGGGGGTGCTGGTGCTTTGCTTCTAAAGTGTTGCTAAAGTCCTGGTAGTGAAAATTTCAGAACTCTAACAAAACTTTCAGTTTCATTATAAATGGCAGATCCTAATTGGTTCTGTCATAAAAATCGCCAATAATGAAATTTTGAAAGTTTTGTTAAGAGTTCTGAAATTTTAACCACCAGAACTTTAGCAACGTTTTAGAAGCAAAGCACCACCACCCTCTAGTTTTGTAAGTACTTTAGAATCATTTAGAACAATGGATTGCCCATGCCTATTTCATTCTGTTACCACAACCAGAAATTGTCTCCAAACCCACCTTAAAAGCTAGGCAGACACGTCCACTGAAGAAGTTCTGCAGCCCTAGTAAGTGGAGTTCAAAAAAAGGATGCATCCAGCCCCAATGCCACTAGAAAGCCAAGATCCAAAGAGCAGCAGCAGGGATCTACTCGGGCTGATTCAGCTCAGGAGACTCGGTGCATTTGCACTAAAATTAATGCAGGTTGACACAATTTTCACTATTATGGCTCAATGCTATGGAATTCTGCAATTTGTAGTTTGGTGAGCATTCATTGGCAGAGAAAGCTGGAGAGGCAAAACTACAACTCCAGTAATTCCATACCATTGAACCATGGCAATTAAAGTGATGGCAAACTGCATCAATTACACACGATAGAAGCACCCCTATTGTCGCTACATCTCTGCAAGTTCTTGACCTTTGTTAGTCACGATTTCACTATCTTTATGGAAGGCTAATTTATGTGGATAATACTAATGTTATAAAATACATTTAATTAACAACGTACAATTATAATTTTCATTTTGCAACTTTTCCAATGATAGGACATTATTCAGAGCTCTAAAAGCCAAGTTGGAAATGCAAACTGAGATAGAAAATGCTATTTTATACACTTTATATCTTTTAAAATATGGTCTCTGGAACCTGTTTCTCAAGCAATAGTATTTGAATTACACATTTGTTGTTAGATTCTAATGACTCTCATTAAAATATAATTATTGCCATAATGAATTTGTGAAATTGGTGGGTAAGTGTCAACTTTCTCAGTGGTGAACTGCTATTCTCCTTCAGGCTGATTAGGGATGATGGGATGATGGTGGTCAATGGCAGGAGAGTTGCAGGTTTCCAAAAGAGAAGTAAAATCAATTTCGGTACCTCTTGAACTAATCCATTTTTAGGTACAGTGTTCACTGCTGTGTTTATCATCTTAATTGCTACAATTTAGCTGGGTTTGAAAGAAAGAAACCAGGTTGCCATTGTTACAAGAGTGAGCAAAGAGAGTCCTGAAGAAACATGACCTTCAAGGCGGCTTCATAATTTTCGGTCTATTGAAACTGCTCTTGTCTGAATAAAAGAAAATTAATGAATTGCCTTTTCCAGAAGCCTCCAACCTCAACTATTCCCAATTTTAGGTTGTAGGCATCCAACACACTTTTAAAAACGAAAGGTTACCGACATCAAACACATACACCTTAGAAAAGGAAACTGGCCATTTCTGGTTTTCAGTTGGTGGTCTGCTGCTGCCGGAGAGTCCTTGGACAGAAAAATTGCCCTCTGATCTGCACGTATCCATCTCTACAGTTTAATAGTTTTCGCTGTATTTTTACAGCGAAAATATGTATTTTTGTATTTTTTAACGATATGTGTTATTAGGATAAAGAAATGAATTAGCACTGCTCCATTAGAATAGTGTAGGAACTTTTAAAAAGATACTTCACCACCTCAACAACTCAGGCAGCTTTTGTAGAATCTACTATTTTCTGCACCAGTGGCGCAGAGGTTTAAAACGCTGAGCTGCTGAATTTGCTGACCAGAAGGCTGGTGGTTTGAATCTGGGGAGCGGGGTGAGCTCCCGCTGTTAGCCCCAGCTTCTGCCAACCTAGCAGTTTGAAAACATGCAAATGTGAGATCAATAGGTACTATTTTAGTGGGAAGGTAACAACTCTCCATGTAGTCATGCATGACCTAGGAGACGTCTATGGACATTGGCTCTTCGGTTAGAAATGGAGATGAGTGCCACCTCCAAGAGTCAAGACATAACCAGTCTTAATGTCAAGGGGAAACCTTTCCCATTGGATTATTATTTTTTGCATCTTGTATTGATATACATTCCTCTGTGTAACAAGTGTATTAAAAGGCCTGTTCTTGTGACTTTTTCCAACACATGCGTGTTGGATTAACTACTGTATCACCAAGTCATACTCTTCTGCCCTTTAGGAAACACAGGACTACGGTTTTTCTAAGCATAGAGGCCTGGACAGGGTTCCCCCCCCCCCTTTATTCTGGAAAACAATCATTTTGTGAAATGTTGAGTTTGACTCTTACTCCTTGTAAGCAGTAAATGTTTAATATATTTGATAAGGAGACTTTACCTCCTTATCACTTCTGTAGTGAACGGGTTCTCTTTCATCCACAACTCAGATTAAATGGCTGTGTAGAACTATCTTATGACTCTGGAAATCAGAGTTAATCTAATCCTTTCTTTGCCATAGAAACCCACTGGCAAACCTTGGGCAAGCCACCTTCTTTCAGCCTCAAATGAAAGCATAGCAAGCTCCTCAGGAAAAAAAAAACTTACCAGGAAAATCTATGATTGGGTTTACCTTGGGGTTGTCATAAATCTGAAATGACTTGGAAGCCTCAAATGGTCCAACAGGTGGCAGCAATTGCTCAACAGAGCGGTGCACTGGAAGCACACAACTCCTGCTGGGTCAGCTCCACTGGCTGCCAGTCTACTATCCAGTACAATTCAAAGTGCTGGCTTTAGCATATAAATCCCTAAACTGTTCCAGCCCAGTTTACATGTCCAAACATATCTCCCTCTATGATCCACCTACTCTCAGCCCCCCCCCCCTCGTAAGCGTGACAGGTGGGGACGAGAGACGGCCTTCTTAGTGGTGGACCCTCACCTATGGAACTCCCTCCCCATCCCTCCTGACCTTCAGGAAAAAGCTGAAAACACAGCTCTGGAATCAGACTTTCGACCAGTAATGGGAGTTGTGTAATATGAGACTCCAAATTAATATGATGACAGCTTGGACTGGCCCTGGAATACCATTTGGATCATGTGATTTTAATTGATGTTTTAATGCTATATTTTTAATGGGTTTGGTTTTAACGTCTTTATTTACTGATGCATTAATGTACAACATTGAATTGTTGCCTTTGTAAGGCTGCCCTGAGTCCTCTTCAGGGTCGAGGGCAGGATATAAATGTGGTAAATAAGTAATTATATAATAAGAATGATTTAAAAACCACTTTCTTCTCTCTGTATATATCTACTGTTGAGACCCCCAAAGATTATTCAGAAGATAAATTAAAATATCTAGCTGCTGAGTTGCAAATTGTGACTAAAGAAAGGGAGCACCAACTTTCGAATACCCTCAAATTCCTTGATGTAGAGTACTTCTATTAAACATTGAGTTAGAGGACCCCATTTGGGGCCGGGACCCACAATTTAAAAAGCAGTAGGCTACAGAGGAACAAACAACTGTATTATGGAAGGCAAGCAGCCAGTATAGTGCCATTGCCCAGAGATACCAAGTGTCCTGGTGTATCTCTCTGCTTCAAGAATTTCAGCCTTCTAATGATCTGATTCAGGATAAAGTCATTTGCTTATATTCCCGAAGGTACCTTGGGAAAAGCAACCTGAGAACAATGAAGCCCAGCCTCCCCATTAACCCTGCGAATTGCACTTCCCATCTTCCAGATGTCATATTTCAAGCAGCCACTAGAGATCAGTAAGACCACAAGGCAAACATTCCACAGCATGGTATGTAACTTTATTCTTCTATTGTAATAATTTAAAATATTTATACACTGCACGGTCACTTTTTTTTCCTCTTTCTCTTTTTTACACAAACATATACTTATTAGTATATCCATGAACCACATCTAAAGGGCTTTTCAACGACAATAAGAAAAAAACTGGGCACTCTGTGGGGTGGGGATTCATTTCCCCCTCCCTCTCAAAGCGTAAAAATCAGCTTGAAGCCTTCTGTGTGCGAGAGAGAAAGAGAGAGAGAGACAGCCATTTGGAGTGTCTGTGAAAACCAGTGTTCCCTCTAAGCATAAGTTCTCCCCAGAGACCACTCACCAGCTTCAAACTATCCATATGTTTGGCATTAACTGTGGGGGACTTCAAGAGCCGACATGTGCAAATAACATTTTCTCATGAAATCCCACAGCGGGGCCAAGAAAATTAAAAACTACTTTTTTAAAAAAGGGGAAAGAAATATACATTCCAGGTACTAACATTTCTGAAATATTACTTATCTCTGGACTTCATGATTTAGATATTAGCGTACATATACACTTGTGGGGCTTGGGAACACAGGAAATTAGCTAGCACGCAGCTGTTTACGATGGGCTCACATTGCAGCTAACAACTCTAGACTTGTCTACCAGACTTCTTCCACAAATACCTTACCACTTGGCACACAAAAAAGGTAAAATTCAACTTCTCTAAGGTCATCATGTTTCTCTCCATACAAAACCAAGGGGTGGGGTAGGGCTCTTTTTGTGCTTCAAATACTCCATTTCCAAAACTATGAATTAAAGGCAGCGTGTGTTTTTCTTTTGTCATAAAGCAAAACAGTTCGGGATTGCATGAATTAATTTACGTGAGACTAGGAAATGAGAGCCTAGTCCTGACACCATTTTGACTTCACAGAATGGCAGTTTTACCCATATGTAATGGAGCTCCCAGTGGTGCAATGGGTTAAACCCTTGTGCCGGCAGGACTGAAGACCAGCAGCCTGGTATTACTGGGTATTATGGAGGTGAAGGAGCCTAATTGCAACATCATGATAGGTTGGAGGTTTGAATCCGGGGAGAGCATGGATGAGCTCCCTCTGTCAGCTCCAGCTCCCCATGCGGGGACATGAGAGAAGCCTCACACAAGGATGGTAAAACATCAAAACATCCTGGGCAATGTCCTTGCAGACAGCCAATTCTCTTGCACCAGAAGTGACTTACAGTTTCTCAACTCGCTCCTGACACAGAAAAAAAACCTCCACATATAATCATTTCCTACACTGACGAATTATAAAATGATGCACAGTCAGCCCTCCACATTTGCTGAGATAAGGATCCCAAAACTCTGTGAAAGTGAAAAAACATGAATAAATAAATTGCCCTTTAAAAAAAAAAGAGAGAGAGAACATCCACTAGGAATCTCTAGGTTCAGCACAACTGTATTGTTAATATCCACAGGAAGCTGAACACAGAACTGCACTGGGAAAAGCAGTCTCCCTATAAATCTCTAAGTCATCCAGCATGATAGGGGAATTTGCCCATAGGGTCACACTGGAGGATTAAGAGATTCCTAGAGAGAACATTTGAAATCAAATCTGCAAAAGTCTAAACTGCAAATGTGGAAGGCTGCCTATATTTCTTTGATTCTATCATTAAATCAAAGTACTGTCAGATGAACCATAAAAATACAACCTTTGCTTGGGTTTAACTTCACAGAGCCACCAAAGAGAGGCTGATATCACTGGGTCTTATGGAGGTGAAGGAGCCTAATTGCAACATCACCAATTATTCCTCAGCACATAGTTTTAACCACTGTATGTCATCAACTCTCAATTCAATCCCAATTAGCATCTAGGCATAGCTCAAAATGAGTCCCAAGCAGGCTCTACTGCAGATCAAAAGTGTGGCACAACATGCACGGGGGACAGAAAGCTCAAATCCCAAGAAGCATTGGCAAAAGAGACAGAAATCTACGCTTTGTAACAAGACTGGATGAAGTCTTTCCCATGAAATAGCTCAGTGTTCTTGGCCCGAGAGAAGGGAAGTAAACCTATCCTCCTCCAGATGTTTGTGAACTTCATTTTGCAGTATCCCCACTGACAACATAGCCTGAGCCTAATGGAAGCTGTAGTCCAGTGTTTCTCAACCTGTGGGTCCTCAGATGTTTTGGCCTTCAACTCCCAGAAATCCTAACAGCTGGTAAACTGGCTGAGATTCCTGGGAGTTGTAGGCCAAAACACCTGGGGACCCACAGGTTGAGAACCACTGTTGTAGTCCAACATCTTGAGGGCCATAAGTTGCTTGGGCCTAGGGTAATGAACTAATAACATGATTCAGTACAAAGCAACAGAACATATTCATGACATGATGCCTTTCTTTTCTCATTAGAAGTAGCAGAAAGAGGTGAAACGTAGGGTCCTTTAGACACCACTGGATAACATATTCATACATGAACCGGTGGGAACTGGAGTCTTAACAACTGGGCAGACCACAGATTTCCATATCTGAGCCTTAATTACTGCTATCTCTCTATATATTCTTTTTGAATTGAGGCGGTTGGCACCTCAACTCTAAAAAAGTCATCTTTTCTGGATCTTGAATCTCCACATCTTCCACGCAACTTGGAAGATAGTTTCTTTGCAACAAAATACAAAGCAGACCTACAACCTGCCACTTTATATAAAAAGAAAGAAAAACAGGCTAGTGGCATTCATTTTTGCAAGGTGAAGTTGAGTTTCTTAATGGGGCTTATAGAATCATAGATTGCAACGTAACCCTAAACTGAATCTAGTCCAACTTCCTACTCATGCAAGAGTGTCTCGTTACAACAGACACACTTTAGCTAGCATTGCTGGTCTTTAAAAAGGCATTGCACGATTCTAGGGTTGAGTGAGGTCTAACAGACTAACATGGCTACTCTGTGGAAGATGTCGCAAATGAGAAACTTGTTTGAAACCGAATTTACCATGTGGACCAAACTATGCCAGCCTTCTTTAGAAAAAGGATAGGTTAACATGTGGATTTTCTGCCTCTATTATTATTTTTTGACAACTCAGGATGCTAAAAACCAGAATATTTTGGGGCTACTTGGAAAAAAACATACCTGCAGCTTGGATGGACAGATTTCTAGACTGGAGATGGGGACAAAGAGAGAAATGAACCAGGTAAGGCCTACTACTATAATAGGCTACACATTTAATACAAACAACTTGAAGACATCCATCTACCAATATATACTAAAGAGACTTGTATCCAAATCACCCCCAAAGCTTTGGGCCCTGCTCACATACACTTGGAAGTGAAGGGAAAGACTCATGTTCTGTACATGTGCCCTTCATACAAATCAATACAAGGTGTGTCGTTTTGTGCTTGTGCGTTATAACCCAAGTACAAAACAATCACATAAAAGTAGTCCTTAAGAAAAGGAAGCAAAGATTATCTGCATCAAGGGGGGGGGGGGAGACGGGGGGACCAAGATGCAGTTCTGACTGCTGTGAACATGAGAACCAACAATAAAGGAAGATCTTTGTTTCCACGAAACAAAGACTACTGGCCCAATGTCCAGGCAAAGGTTGGAAACTTGCAGCCCTCCAGTTAGATATGGACTACAATTCCCATCAAGCATGCCCAGGCAGCACAGCCAATGGGAACTGTAGTTCAATAAGATCTGGAGGACTAACTGTTGCTCACTGCTGCTCCAAGTGGAAGAGCTGGCTCTTCCCAAACCTGTACAAAAATTCAAAGCCAGGCTTAACTCGCCAAAGGAATGGGAGAGGGGAAAGGGAAGGATCAGTATGTTGATTAAGCTAGAAAATACTTAGAGGGAGCACTGGGTATGGTTTATATACACAAAGATATAAGCTGTACATGTTACCTAAGTACACATAAATATTTAATATATAAAAAATAAAGTGCTTTCTATCAGGTCCTGATGAAAGGACATTATAAAACATTTCACCAACTGCAAAGCAAAAAAAGAAAGAAAAAAATTACAATCAAAAATGATGTTTCATCCAACATACATTGGGGGGTAGGGGGGAGACCGGTAACACAATATATACAATTCGCTGGGTGTCCCAGGACAGAAAAAAAGCATCCCTTCATATACATGGTATATACATATATACTCTTTACTCAATATATTATGACAATATATATTTTAAACCCTTTGTTCTCAACCACAACTGGAGGGAAAAAACCCCTACAAAAACACAACAAGCATCAAACACACAAGTCCAAGATGAAGAGACAACTTCCTCTCCCAGCTCCCAGCCCCATTGTTGGGGAAAATGTGCCATCTCTCCTTCCTGGGGTGCAGCGCCTCGACATCCTGCAAGGCACTATGAGCAGCGGCTGTGAAATTGGCATCCCCGGTGGTGAGCAAATCAAAGACGCAAGAGTAAAAATAGAGGTCCTTCAGCAGCATCTTCTCGTGGCACTTTGCTGTGGCGCTCTCCAGCGTGTAGACAGACCGACTCTGACTCGAAGCACCAGGAGGAAGGAGCTGCCCCATGACCGGCAAAGGGAGGTGTCCACTGTCATCAATGCGTTCACTTGAGGGGCAGCCATTCACACAGAGCTGGAGGTCCTGGCTCTCTTCATAAGCCATGGCTAGCTCTTTCGGCATACGGATGGCCAGCGTTAAGTAGCGGCCTAGCTGGCGCACAAACACAGTCGTCCCAATGTACCGGGCATGCATTTCCACATATTTGCCGCTCACTCGCTCAACAATACGTAGGCTTTTGGTGTCACCATCACCGCCACTTGTGGTGCCATCCACAAAAGCTGCTGGCAAATCGTCAGTCACTGCCTGGTACACTTTTTGATCTGTACAGTCTTGGTAAGATTTGAAGATAATGGTGATCTGTGAAGAGGAAAGAAACAAGGAGGATAAAGTTAGACGAGGACAATCTATTTTAATACTTGGAAGCGAGCTACCCCTTAATATAGTTCCTCGTGTTTTGACCCCCCCCCCAAACAAACATTATTTTTGTTGCTACTTCATAACGTTAATATTGCTACTGTTATGAATTGTAATGTAAATTATCTTATATACACTGGACTAAATTTGGCACAAATACACAATACATCCAAATTTGAATACTGGTGGAGTTGGGGGGAGGGCATTGATTTTCTCATTTGGGAGTTGTAGTTGCTGGGATTTATAGTTAATCTACAATCAAAGAGTATTCTGAATTCCACCAATGATGGAACTGAACTAAATTTGCCACACAGAACCCCCATGACAACAGAAAATACTGTGTTTTCTGATGGTCTTTTGTGACTTGTATGACACTCCCTCACGGCCCCCGACCCCCAGGTTGAGAAACTCTGATATAGAGGGATCCCTCATGCCCAATGACTTCATATTTGTGGATTGGGAGAGGATTTAATGCACTATCTGTTACACTGCCCTTTGCATAATGACCCTAGAAACAATCTTCTGGGAGACCTTTTGGAAGAAAGGGCAGCATGGCAAGAGTCAGCAGTTATCTGTGACTTGTTAGCAGATTATTCCAAAAATAATATTAAAGGTTGCCACATTTGCAGTCGTAGCCCAAAAAATCTGAGCCAAAATAGTAAAGTCCCCAGGGGAGCCTTGAAATGGAAATGGAGATAGTCTGGGATGATACAAATCAGACATTTGTTATTGTTATCATGTCACTGCTACTATAATTTTAAAGATCCAGTATATGGAATAAGTGTTAATGTTTATATTAGAAAGTGCTTATTGTACTTTTAAAGATTGTATATTATTTGATGTCATGGCCTGTGGCTGGTACAATAAACGATTCATTGATATTTGATAGGTATCTAAGGGTTTACATATTCCACTAATATTAGTTGAAAGCGACTATGAAAAGAACCAATTTGTCATTACAATCGGCCCAATGTAGCAGATTACAATTTTCAGATTCTGTACCCACAAATCCAACTAACTATTGCTTCAAAATATTCCAAGAAAATTCCAAAAAGCAAACTCTAATTTGGGCATTTTGTACAAGAAATACCATTTTGTTATGTCGTTATACTGGACTGTTTATAATACTGTAAAGATAATACACCTCCCTTCTATTGTAATAAAAATGACTAGACCTGAAAGAACACTGCATTTCAGGACACATCAAGAGAGAGATATACCAGCTATATCTTATACCAACAGGTTAACTTTCTATTGCTGGGATGTAGCTGAGGCATGTTTCACTTTGAATTACTTATCAGTTTCAGCCCAAGTTGAGAAAATAATGTAGTAAAGTTTATAGAAGCTTGTATCCATTATTTAGATCATCCTAACATGATTGATTGTTGTACAATAGCTGAGACAACTATGGATAAACATGAGTGGCTGCGTAAGAAATTTTCCATGGAAAAATAGACCAATGGAAAATTGTCTATTTTTGAAAAAATTCTACCCTACATTTCTGAAATACAACCCTTCCAAGCAATCACTGCAGTGAAACAATATTCTTAAGAATTAAACATACTCATTTTTAAGCATCCGGTGTACTCCAGCATGGGCATATACTTGGAAAAGTAGATTTACAACAGTCATTGCTATGTATTAATATGCATTGATTATTTAAATGGGAAGTGTATTGAGGCATTCAAGTATGGACAGTTGTAAACATCTGACTTGAAACTATACAGTAAGGAGAACTTTAGTAGATTTGATCCTAGAACCTCAATAGGAAGATGTGATGCACTAAGATGCTGACCATCTGCAATAGAGAAGACTTGTGCTCTGTACTAGTAGTTCTCTAATTTTGGTCTACAGGTGTTTTCAGGTCTTCAGTTCCCAGCATCCCTAACTAATGGTCATGCTGGTTGAGGCTTCCCAAGTCCAAAATGATTAGATGACTGAAGGTTGACAGCCATAGCTTTGCACAGCAGTCATGCAGACTGAGCATCACAGAGTATGACTGGTGTGGTATCCTAGAAGAGGAGGAGATAGAACTGAGGCAGGCACCAAAAACCAGAATGCCCAAGAAAGGTGGAGGACAGGCAAAGCCTAAAACTAAGTTTCTGGAAAGGTTTAACACAGCAGTTCCCAACTTGAGGTCCATGGACCACCGGTGCTCCCCAAGAACTAAAATATGGTCTGCGGCCTCAATGTTACTACGAGAGCAACTGGTCTCACAAAATCCTCTTATAGTGCTGAGGCTTGTTAAATATAATGTTCTGTGGACGAGCAGATGGCAACTACTGGATTGCATATGTTCTGTATCAGAAACTAGAGCTGATGTGGTCTATCCAATGCAATTTTCTGAATCAGCACCCCAAATAACCCAAACTGAATCTCAAGTTGACCAAAAACCGATGTGTAACCCTTTTGGTACTAATGTTAGAGAGTGGTCCCTGGTCAAAAAAAGGTTGGGAACTACTGGTTTAACGGAAGGCTGCAAAATGCTTGAAGGACTCTGGCATATGTCTTTTCAGGAGTAGATTGGAAACACCGCGATTTCCCCAACTGCCACAGTTCCTATCTTCTTTGTCCATGAAAAACAAGAATTGTACCAAGCATTTCGTAGCCTTCCAATTAAAAAGATACAAGAATACAACGCCTGCAGGCCACATTTGTCCCTTTGCCACAAAGGTTCCACCATAAATCCAGAGTCAATTGCAAGACATGCTGGAAGACACAGTCTGACTCTATTTGGAAGGCTGCACAATCCTCCTTAAAGACGCATCCCATGGACAACTGTGGCAACAAGTACATGGATCAGGCACAGGAGGAAATAAGTAGGAGCAATATGTTCCTATATTGTAGGAGACCTAATTCTCCTACTTTGTTTTTCACCATCAGATTTGTGCAATCCACAAAAGAAAAACCCTGCTGGGCACAAAAGCACTGAATCAGATTGTCTCTGAATTTGCAAAGCCTCCTTGAACCTTGCAGAAGTGCAGCCTCAAATGTTCATGCGGAGAAGGATGAAAATCTGTTGAAACGGCTCCACCACACAAAGAACACAAGACAAAACTGAGGTTCAACCTCCTTTACGATAGCTGACATATTCCCCACAGCCCCACCATTCTTCACCTCACTCCACCCCCGCCGCGACGAATACACCCCTCATTATTTTCACTCCACATGTTCCCACCAGTGCTGTCTGACTGGAATTTTCCAACAGTTTCTTTAGTTTAAATCACTTCCACTTCTAACTGGAGGCCAGCTGCAGTCGAGCAATCTGTTAAACGCATAGCCCTGAGCTAGAGCTGGGACTGCAGGGCTTTGAGGGGAAGTCTGCTCCTGTGTTGTCTGGATTTAAGCAAGAATCCTGCCCTTTCTACTCCACCGGAGAAAGCCACAATTCCTCCTCAGTATTAATCATGCTCGCTCAGTTCAGAATCCCCCCAGGACCCCGCGCTGGAGGCTGTCTCACAAGTGATTTGTTGTGCTGCCAATTCTTCCCTCGCAAATGCTCTCAGAAAGGGAGAGGGATGTAGAAACAGCTGCTTTCTACAGGACAGGAAATACAGTTTATATTGTGAGTAACCACACGTAGACGCAGCACTCGGCACTGCAGCCACTCAGCGAGGGAAAGTTTCTTGGCAGCCATGTTGAAAGTGGAATTCTATGCAAGTCTGCTCACATCAGAGAGATTAACTCAACAAATTATTCCTAATGAGACGCAGAAGGCTTCCTTTCTCTTTTGTCTTCCCCCCAACCACTGATACCTTCACTCTTCCAAGTAACAGAAACCAAACATGGGACACAGTAAAGAAGAACACCTCCCTAACAAGTGTTCTCTTATTTTGAGGGAATTGTGTATTTCATAAAATTAAAACCCAGTTCCACCACTGGAGGAAACTATGGTTAGATATATTGATTTATTTATCATATCAGAAGCAAACCGAGGGTACAGTTGTAATGTATTTAAAAACACAAATGAAGTTTTAAACTAAATGTCCTTTAACCAGTAGCTGGCCACTTGGGAGTGCCTCAGGTGTTGCTATAAGAAGGTCCTCCATTGTGCATGTGGCAGGGCTCAGACCTCATTGCAGTAGGTTTATCTGTGGTTTGCTCTTAGATATATAACTGGTCAAATTTCTGGGTCACTTTTTAGATCACATCTCAAACCCAAGGCCCATGGACTGTATCTGGCCCACCATGTCATTTTATGTGGCCCACAAGGTATAGCGACACTGACCGCGGGAAAACGATAAGCATTTTTAAAAAACTTGAATTTGAATACATTTGAATGGTTGTGCTTGCATTTTGTGTTTGCTGCCATTTTCAGAACACGATCAATGGATGGGGATGGTGTGTGTGATATAGTGTCTCAGGTTTTTTAACAGTATGTTATGAGGAGTTACATTTATACAGTCCTCCAGTTACAAACGGCCTTTTGAAGGCAACCATAAGGCTGATGTGACCCTCTGTGAAAGTAAATTTGACACCCCTGCTTAAGTGAGATAAAGCAGGTTAGAAACAAATGGGGGGGGGGGGAGAAGAGAGGATGAGGAGAAGGATAACAACTCCTTATGGCAGCAAAACAGTCTGAGGCAGGTAATACAACCATCTATAGTGCTCCTGGAATGATGCTCCAGCAAAGCTCTGAATCCTTCTCCATTTGTCTGGCCACTTCAGCTCTCTCCAAAATTTCATGGCACTCTACTACATGGGCTCACACCAGAATCTCAGCCTGTGTTCATAAGATTTATGAGAAGGTTTTTAAGCACAACTGAAAATAGGAAACAGGGAAATAGTGGTACCTAATTGTATATAGCCCTTAGCACCATCTATCTCCATGAAGAGTTAGAAAGCTGCACCAACTTCATGTACTATCCCCATGGACACTAATTTGTTATTTTTCTTAAAATAGAAGTGATACCCCAGTTACTTTTCACAAAGTCTATGTACAC